TTTAATCCCTTTTTTGTGGCAAATTATGAGTTGTTGTAGAGTTGTTGCAGAGATGTTATCGTAACTTTTGATAGTTGAAATAACCCAACAACACTAGTAACAATAGTCCATGTTGATTGCACTTTTACATATTTCGTGGAATTTGCATAAAATTAATTTATTATTTGTGCTGGCTCGCGTATAATACATAAATGCTCTATTAAATCCTTTATCAAGGACATTTTGCGCGTGCAGACATCCATTATTTATATAAAAATTTTTGCCTGCATTATTTCATATGTTAACATGCAAAATAATGAAAAAACAAAACTTTAAGGGTTTTGTTTTTTATGTTTTGAATATGTTGCAAAAATAGTTGAACCCAAGGGGAATGCAATTAAAATAATTATTTAACGATGGGTGCCCTACAATTCTTATTTGATCAAAGCCATTTTATAATTGTAATTTCAAAAATTTTAATTATTGTTAGATATTGATTACAGTGGGACATATTGTAAATTTTCACTTCGTTTGTGAACGGTATATAACACCTAGATTGCAATTAATTAAACTACATATAAGGAATATCACAACGTAAGTGTAATTATTAAGATTAAAACAATTTAAATTAATTAGTTTTCGAGCAAAGCATAAAAATGCCATCTAATAGCACTTTCTTAAAGTGAGCTCATAAGTAATCTATATAAGGAATACCTGAGCATATCATATAATTGTACATAATTTTAATATAATTTAAAGAACTATATAGTAATTGCAGCGTTCCCCATTATTGCCTTATTCGCAAGAAATTATTTCATACCGATACTATTTTAAATCTAAAATCAATTATTGGATTGATTTTTGCTTAAAGGTAGTATATTTTAACCTATTCGTCAGTACTTTCAGTTACTTTTAAATTGTTTATATATTTGCTATAACTGTTGGTGTGGCTTATTTAAAATCGGTAGGGCGAAACATATCTGTATTTCTAATAAAATAAAAGATATCTTAAATGTGTGTTTAATATTTTTATGAATGTAATGAAAATACTGTGTTCAGACAAATTTCCTTAATTTCGTAAAAAATGCGAAATCTAAGATTAATTCGAGTGATTACATAAATTCCTGACAAATTAAGGAAAATTATATGTTTTTTTTGTATTAATTACAATTAAAACGACTACACTTGTAAAATTACATGTCCAATTACCGTTAGTAGCTGGATTTTACAAGATTATTATAAAAGTATAAACGAGGCATCATAATTGTTTATTTGATTTAGTGGATTTCAGGTATTAAATTATTATTTTCATTCTCCTTAAAATAATATCCATTTTTCAGTTTGTTGTCTCCTACATGCAAAATTCAATAAAAATTTGCACTACCTCAAATATTTTTCGATTTCATTAAAACCAGAAACGTCACATTTATTAAAATAAATTAATTTATTCATTTCTCAACATTAAATCTTACCAAGAATTTATTAAAATTAAAGATAAGTTAAGGTAACCACTTAATTTATCTTTACCTTACAATTTACCTTTCGCATAGTTGCATTTGAAAGGTCCCTTAATATCTGTCATCGTTTTAATGAATCTAGTGCCATTTTCCCTAATATCGTTCAAACCTTAAAACTGAGTTTTGTATGGAAAAAAAACAAGTTCATTTCGCTGAAAGGAAAATGATACCAGATTTTTTACGAAATTAAATTTTTCCGAACAAGGCATGAAAATGCTATCTAATAGCACTTTCTTAAAGTGAGCTCATGAATAATCTATATAAGGACTAATAGAGCATATCTATTAATTGTACATAATTTTAATATAATTTAAAGAATTATTTAGTAATTGCAGCGATCCCCATTTTCGCTTTATTTAGAAGGAATTGTTTCATACCAATATTATTTTAAATCTAAAATCAATTATTGGATTGATTTTTGATTAAAGATAGTATATTTTAACCTATTCATCAGTGCTTTCATTTATTTTTAAAATAAATTATTATTTTCTGCAACCGCTGGTGTGGCAACGGTTGCCACTTACGGTACTTTAGTACCAAAATTGGTACCAAGAAAATTTTGGACCTTTTTTTACAGAAATGGTACCTTTTGAAACCAATTTTGGTACAGGAAAAAATTTTCAAGTGGCAACTGTGGGTGTGGCTTATGCAAAATGAGTAGGAGGAAAGACATCTAAATTATTAATAAAATAAAAGATGTTTAAAATGTGTGCATAATATTTTCCTGACTATAATGAGAGATAAACCCGATAACACCTTATTCTAAAGACAGTAAACTTTTTTAAAATATATTCAAATGTTGCAAATGTGGGAAAAGTTTCCGTCATCACCTCTTGATTTTGGAACTTGTTTTCCCTATATTTAATTCAAAAAAATTAATTAAATACTACATTAAATTTTAAACTTATTAAACTTATAGTTTATTATTTTAAGCTTATTTAAATATTGTATAGTGTGCTAAATCAATACAATGTGTTAATACCATATTATACATTTTGTAATTCTTTATATGATATAAAATTATAAAACTTGATTTCGTAAGTTTGCCCCACTGTACCAAACAAAACTTTTCAATTTTTTATAAAGGATCAAAATCATATTTATATTCATATTGCACACAACATTTACTAGAGTTTATTTTTAATTTTTTTATAGCAAAGATTGGAATCTAATTTTCGATTCAGTCAGATTACAAACTTTAATTATTTGGTTCAATATGAGATACAGAACTGTCCAAAGTGCTATGAAACAAACCACCCCATTCAAAATAAAAATTTCAGTTCTGATCCACTTCAGGGATAAGCTTTGATTTAATCAGAAATGCAAACGGTGCACCGATAGCACAAAAGAGGGTGCTCATTGTGTGCATATACCTTGGCAAAACTACACCTAAGAGCATTAAAACCTATTAAATAACGGCACATATATCTACAACTTTTTGATAATAACAAAAACAAAATTCATATACACATTAATGTATGTACGCGCACAACAAAAGGCTCTGTACGTAGTTATTAAAAAGTATTCGGCATTAAAATTATGCAGCTGAGTCAAAGCCAAAGGACATTTTCAACTAAATAACTGTGCTCAACTGACTGTCTGAGTGACTGAGTGACTGAACTGACAGCAAGGATACATGACTGAAACCAAAATCGGGGGTTACTACCAGTGCCTGTTAGGTTGATTGCGCTTGCGCTGAGTGATTCCAGCAGGAGCAGATGTTTCGTTCGACCCCAGCACGGGATACTTTGTTGTTGGTTTCTGCTTTATTTGGTTTGATGGTTCTTTTGTGTTGGAAAATGAAATTTCATTTTATTGTATTTATTTATTTTTTTTTTTTTGGTTTTTTTTTTGCTTTGTCAGAGTAAAAATTTAATTGATTCGAGTTTTGTTATTTTTCCTTGTTGGTACGTGGATTTGGACGTGCCAATGCTTAAAGCAACAAATTTTATATCCTGTCCTTCATGGAATTTATACATTTTGAAAATTTGGCTTTAGGCATTTTTTCATGGGATATCAGTAAAATTCATCGGCACTGTGAGTAGGCAAAGATTAATGAAGAGAATAAAGAGTTTGGCTTGGTAGGGTGGATTTCTCGTTTGCGTTACATTTACACACAAGTGAATGTATCTCATGGTGCATGCGTAAAAT